AAGTAAATTTGTTAATTGAGGGATGTATGTTTCATAGAAAGGAAAGGAAAAATAGTGTAGAGTTTATTTCATGTATAAATCATGTACCAAAACTGTTGGAGCTGTTCTATATAATGTTGACATTATCACTAAATAAACTCATATCATATTCTTAAGATAGAGTTTCCTATATTTTGTCTGCACTATTTCTGGGTGTTCAGAAGAATCAAGGCCAGGTACTACATGAATGCCCTGACACATTGACCACCACGGGATCCCAATAGTCAGGTCAAACAAACAATGTAGGTGTGCATCAGCACATGACTGGGTAGACAAAGTTGTGAAATATACACACAGTGGAAGTTTTACTCTGCCATAAAGAATAGAATTATGTTATCTGGAGAAAAGTAGTCAGAGTTGGATATCATTATGTTAACTGAGCTACACCAGACTCAGAAAGATAAGTATCTAAGTTTTGCTTACATGAAATTTAAGGGGAAATGACCTGAAATTCAAATGACTATTTCATATGTGGCTGGGGGAAAGGGAAGCAGGGCATTACAAAGGTACTTGGGGGCTGAATATGACTGAAGTATGTTCTGTTCATGTAGGGGGAATGTCTTAGTGAAATCTCATCCTTCACACAATTAATATACACTAATGAAAAAAAAGTAAAGTTTTAAACTTAAGAATGGCAAGAAAGCTTTGTTTAAATCAATAATATGGATATGGAATATTTTTGTCTTAATTATGGACACAAAAAATCAGAGGTTCAAAGACATATAAACTGGTAAGTAATACAGCTAGATAGCAAGATTAAAATGATGCAGGAGCCAAATTTCTGTAGCTACTTGGGGAGAAGAACTGTTGTCCTCCTTTTTTAAGTGGTTGCTGCCTTTTAAGCCACAGCTGTCCTAACCAGCAACTGCAGCTCCTCCACTACCAGCAGCAGTTAGGCCACAAGAGCCACAGCCTGAGGGAATTCTGTTCCCTCAGGGTCGACTCTTGCAAAGTTACAAACACAACTAAACCTCTCTCCCTCTAAAGAACTCAAGATTCAAAGGTTAAGCTGGAATTCTGCTCTTCAGAGAGGCTGAATAGCAAGAAGCTCACCTCCTCTCTTTGCTTGAGTCATTCAAAAAGCCCTCTGTAGCTCGAGTTTTCTTCAGTCCCACCTAGGCCCGCAGCCACTCAGACCCAAATAAACACACAGAGGCTTATATTAATTAAAACTGTATGGCCTAATGGCTCAGGCTTCTTGCTAGCTAGATCTTACATCTTAATTAACCAATTCCTATAAATCTGTACCTTGCCACATGGCTTGTGCCTTACCAGTATCTCTACATCTTGCTTCTCATGGTGGTGGCTGGCAGCATCTCCTGAATCAGCCTTCCTCTTTCCAGAATTCTCCTTGTCTGTTTATCCTGCCTATACTTCTTGCCTGGCTACTGGCCAATCAGCATTTTATTTATCAACCAAATCAGAGCAATACACATTCACAGCGTAAAGAATGACATTCCCATCAGCCCTCCCACTTCTCCTCGCTCCTCCTTAAAATCCCTTCTCCACCTGGCTCATCCCTACCACTTCCTGTCAGCTAGTTGCTGACTCAGCCTCCTGACCACAGGTGAATTTTATTTAATTAAACACATCTTTGCATCATTAAGCAAATGTTCCAGGGCATAAACAAAAGTAACACACCTTGAAATAATATGCTACAACAAAGAACCCTTTGTGAAAACCACAAATTGCTCACATGTTGCTGTGAGAATGGAGGCTGGATTAGTGTTTAAGGCAGCAGAGTCTGGGGCTGGAGCGATGGCTCAGCAGTTAAGAACACTGGCTGCTCTTCCAGCTCAATTCCCAGCACCCATGAGGCAGCTCACAACTATCTTAACTCAAGTTCCAGAGGGTCTGACACCTTCTTACAAACATACAGGCAAAACACCAAGAATATAAATAAAAAAAATTAAAAGACAAAAGGAAGGGCTGAGGGAGATGAATAAGAAGCCTTGTAATTGGGTGTGCCACTGAAAAACTAGACAGATAAGAAGAGGGACCGGGTTCTGGGCCGGTCGCATCCCGCGTGCCCCTCCCAAGCCTTGAGGAGCATGTGCAAGCAAGCCACTATTGTCCTTTCATATGTTCTTGCTTCTCATGCAGCTATTTTCAATTTTTAACTTTTAATTTTTAAAGATTTATTTATTTTTTAGTTTATGTGCATGCATGTTTTGCCGGCAGGCATGTCTGTAGACCACATATGTGTAGTACCTACAGGGGCCAGAAAAGGACTGTGGATCCCTTAGAGCTGCTGTGAGCCTCCCTGTGAGCACTGGGAATCAAACTTGGGTCCTCTGGAAGAGCAGCCAGTGCTTTTAACGGAGCCAGTTTTCCAGCCTTTTTTTTTTTTTTTTTAAGATTCATTTGTTTAGAGCCAGGCAGTGGTGGCACACGCCTTTAATCCCACCACTCCCGAGGCAGAGCCAGGTGGATCTCTGTGAGTTCGAGGCCAGCCTGGTCTACAGAGCAAGTTCCAGGACAGGCATCAAAACTACACAGAGAAACCCTGTCTTGAAAAACAAAAACAAAACAAAAAGATTCATTTGTTTATTTTATTTTGTATGTATGTGTATACCACATGCATTCGGGTGATTGTGGAGGCCAGAAGAGGGTGACAGATCCCCAGGAACCATAGTTACAGGTAGTTATAAGCCACTTGATGTAGGTTTGGGGAACTGAATACCTAGGTCCTCTGAAAGAGCAGCAAGCACTATCAACTGTTGAACCATCTCTCCAGCTCCTAATGCAGCTAACTGTAGCAGCTTTAGTAAAGATAGCATCAACAAAAGCCACCTGTTTCAGGAGGGCACCTCAGACCACCCCATAGGCATGGAGCTGAACATGAGGTGATTAAGAAAGATTGCAGCTACATATTGATGTCTGTGATAGAGTCAACAGCAAAGCCACATGCTCTTATATAAATGTGAGAACAAAGATGTTTAGTGTAATTAACAGCACTTGAGATACCTGCAAGGTCAGAGGCTGTGATGCTAGTCAGTGACTAACAGCTAGAAGACAGTCAAGGTCAGCAGCTAACAAAGCACAAGGTAGAAATGAACACAAGTGGCTGTAACTATCCCTAACTGGGTGAGCAGTTTATGAACTATGCATGTCCATACAAAACTATACTGTGAAAGGGACCATCATACTCAAAAACCCTCGAACAAACTTGAGGTCTATTTGGTTTTTGTGGTGGGTTAAATAGGAATGGTCCCCCATAGACTCAGGTATTTGAATGTTAGGCTTACAAGGAGTGGAACTATTAGGAGGTGTGGCCTTGCTGGAGTAGGTGTGGCTTTAATGCAGGAAATGTGTCACTGGGGGCAGGCTTTCAGGTCTCAGAAGCTCAAGCCAGGCCTAGTGTGTCTCAGTCTCTTCCTGCTGCCTGTGGATCCAGATGTAGAACTCTCAGCTCCTTCTCGAGTACTATGTCTGACTGCATGCCAGCATTCTTCCCTTTTCTGTTTTGCTCTGCTTCAGCCACAGAGGTCTTCTTGTTGCTCATGTGAGTGAGTGTGTATGTGTGTGTGTGTGTGTGTGTGTGTGTGTGTGTGTGTGTGTGTGTAAAATGGATAAGAAATGGTCCCAAAGACTCACGTATTTTAGGTTTTGTCTTTAACGTGACAGTGTTCAGATGTATGTATGTGGGGGGGGGGGGGCTTCCTGAGAGCTGATTGGATCATGAGTTCTAAATTCACCAGTGATTGCTTCCCCATGATAAATTCATAGCTCAATGGAGGTTTAGACAATGCGGCCTGGTTGGAGGAGGCAGGTCTCTGTGTATGGCTTCAGAGGTAGATCTTGTGTCTGGACTCTCTCTCTTGCTTTCATTCTCTCTCTCAGTCTGCCATGCTCATGCTGTCTCACTCTTGCTGTCTCTCTCTTTCCCTTTTTTCTTTCTCTTCCTCCCCTCATCATGGTGTCTTGCTTTGCTGAGGTCCAGAAACATGGGATCTAAGCAACCACAGGTGAACACATGTGAATCTTCCCTCCTTTAAGTTACTGCAGGTACTTTGTCATAGCAACAAAAAGTTGATGACTAGATGTATGCTTCTGCCTTAAAGTCTTGGCAGTGGCTACCTGACATCTTCTGCTATTCCCCAAGTATTCAGAACCCATTTCCTTAATCTTTCTTTAAGAGGTAGGGCTGTTCAATAGAAAAGCCAACTAGTAAACAAGAAGGAGTAAAGGCATAATTTCAGTCTGTAAAACAGATACTAGTCATTGCTTATTTCCAAACCAGAGACCATTTAATGTTGAAAAAGAGATCTCTTTCCTTTGCATGAAATGATGAGTTATTCCAGGTATCACATAGCATGTACAAATACATCAGGGCTAAAATTTGATGGATTTCTGTGGAAGAGAGGGAGGAAGGCTTGTAGGAGCCGGAGGGTTCAAGGACACCATAAAAACCCCACAAATGAATTAACCTGAGCTCACAGGGGCTCACAGAGACTGAAGCAACAATCACAGAGCCTGCAGGGTCTGACCTAGGTCCTCTGCATATATGTTATGGTTGTATAGCTTGGTCTGCTTGTGGGACTCTTGGTAGCAGTGGTGTGTCTGTGACTCCTTTGCCTGCGTTTGGGACCCTGTCCTGCCATTGGATTTTCTAGTCCAGCCTTGATACAAGGGGAGGTGCCTAGTCTTACTGCAACTTGATATTGCCATGTTTGGTTGGTGTCCCTGGGAGGCCTGCCCTTTTCTAAAAGGAAACGGAGGAGGAGTTGGGAGGGGGACTGAGAGGAGAGGAGGGAGAGGAAACTGTGGTTGGTATGTAATACATGAGAGAAGAATAAATTTTTTTAAAAAAATTAAATTAATGGATTTCCTGGAAAAGAAGGAAACAGAATAATGAGTACAATGGCTTCTGAAGAAGTCACTAGTTGCATAACTAATCTGGACAAAATGTATTATTTAAAACCATTCAATCATGGCCTTATCTTTTCTAATTCTTGCAGGATGCCTCATGGTATAATCATCTGACTGTATCTCTGAAACATCATTAGGATTTGGGAAGCATGTTAACAAACACTTGATGAAGCCACTCTGAAGAAAACACCATTAATCATGTCATCTGATAAAAGACACGTCAGGTCTGTTTCGACATTTACACTCATACTGAATTTCTGTAGACAATCCTTGGTACATAGAGACTAGGCATCTTTATTGTGAATGAGATTAGGAATTAGGCATCTTTTTATTATTTAACATAATTTCTTCATTGAATCATTGAGAAATTCACATCATGCACCCCAATTCTGGTCACCTCCCAGTCCCTCCATATCCTCCCCTTTCCCCTGCAGTGGCCTCCAAACAAAAATTAAAAAAAACCCAAAAAACAAACCAAACCAAACCAAGCTAGCAAACAAATAAAAACAAAAAGAAAAACAAGCAAAACCTCCAAAGAACAAAACAAAACAACAACACAAAACCTCTCCATTCCTCCATCTTTCCTGCCTCTCCAACACCTCTTCCTTCATCCTGGTGGCATTGGGAGCCATGGTGTGTCACTCAGTTGTTGTAGAATATTATTTTAAGGTGTGTTACTTTTGTTTATGTTCTGGAACATTTGTTTAATGATGCAAAGATGTGTTTGGTTAAATAAAATTCACCAGCAGTCAGGAGGCTGAGTCAGCAACTAGCTGACAGGAAGTGGTAGGGAGGAGCCAAGTGGAGAAGGGTTTATAAGGAGGGGTGAGGAGAAGCAGGAGGGCTTTTTGGAGGACTCAAGCAAGTAGAGGAGGTGAGCTACGTGCTATTCAGCCTCTGAAGAGCAGAATTCCAGCTTAATCTTTGAATCTTGAGTTCTTTAGAGGGAGAGAGGTTTAGTTAAGTTGTCTTTGTAACTTTGCAAGAGTCGGACCCTGAGGGAACAGAATTCCCTCAGGCCGTGGCTCTTGTGGCCTAACTGCTGCTGGTAGTGGAGGAGCTGCAGTTGCTGGTTAGGACAGTTGTGTCTTAAAAGGCAGCAACCACTTAAAAAAGGAGGACAACACCCAGTAGACCCTTCGCTCCATTAGCTTTACTCGCAAGTGTTCATTGCGATGAGTCACTGGCCTGGTTCAAGGCTTCTGGTTTCTGGTACACCATCTTCACTGGATCTTCCCCAAAACTCTGCTTGGGTATTCTGAGGTCTCCCAAAGTCATGGAGATTCTGTGGTTATTGTTCCTTCACTGACCAGCTCAACTGCCACCCAGACTCACAGTCCAGCCTGGGGTTGGCCCAGCCTAACATCTCCCCATCTGGGATTAGGCATTTTTATCGTGAATGAAATATGGGATTAGGAATCTTTATTGTGAATGAGAGATGTTTAGATCTAATTTCTCAAAAGGCAACCTACCCAAGATGCTGTGATTTTCAGTTGTAGATGCTTTCCAGGGCAATTCTCTTAGCTCATTGCTGCTCAGTTCCCCCAAAATGTACAATTTCCATTGCATCAGTCATCTACTGGAAATACATTACAAAACCTACAAGAGTGCCCCGTGGCTTTTTTGAGTAAATGAAAAACCTTAGGTTGGTATTTAAGACATTTCATTATTGCTAGGTTTATCCTTCATTAGGGAATTTTCTATCAACTTAAAAAAATCTGTGGAAGCATAATAGCTGAGTATCCAACATTCTGTTGTCTTCTGAGTGTCTGCCTTTGCCTCCTCTGAGAAGACTGATTGTGCCCATGAGTCACATACCTAATCTCTTTTGCAAAAGGTTATCCAGGCACACCCTGGGGCCTCTATCCAGAGCATTCTTTACCAACAAGGAATTTCTTCATTTTAGCATCATTTGTAAATCTAGCTAGGCTGAGAACTTACCAAGTAATTGGCTCCTGGCTCCCAGCTCTGTTTACTGTGTTGTTCCTTCCACACTTCTACTGTTTTCTTGTAAGTAGCACAGTGGAGTGACGCTATCTACAGTGTTTAGGCTCCAATCTCTGAAGCCAAAAATGCCCAAGTTCACCACTTCCAGGTTGTTTCTGTTCAGAGCAGAACTACTCTTCTGCCATTTTACAAGCACAGACATTCCTTTAGCTTACACTAATCTGGTTGCCATTTTGTTTTGAAGCCTCACCAGAAATACATCTAATATTCATATTTTGCTAGCAGTCTGCTTATGGTAATATACACACACACACATACTCTCTCTCACACACACTCACACACATACACATATGCACACACATACACTCAAACTCACACATATATACACATACATGTACACACTTGTACTCAAACACACACACATATACATTCACACCACACACATAAACACACATATACACACATGCATATATACATACCATACATACTCATATACTCATATACATACATACAACATATACACAAATATGTATACATTCACTCACACACATACACACATACACATTCACATACCCACTGCAAAGCAATCTAGCCTTTCTTTTATTTTCTTTCTTTTTTTTATGTATATGGGTGCTTTGCCTTGCCTGTGCTGGGTGCCCAAAGAGGCCAAAAGAGTACATTCAGTCTCCTGGAACTGGAGTTACAGATTTTGAGTTCATATTTGGGTGCTGGGAACTGAACTTAGGGCCTCTGTAAGAACCACGAGTGTTATTAATTTTTGAGAAATCTCTCTAACCCGGCTAGCTTTGTCATTCATGTTCAGACCCTAAAATCCTTCCAGCCCCTACACATTCCCTATTCAAAAGCCACTTCTAAGACAGGGCATGCTCGGGGTGGAATGACCATAGATTGGGACCTGAATTATATTAGTTTTCTAGACTTGCAGCCAACAAGCTACCAACTAGATGGATTTAAATACATAATATTACTATGCAAATTGATAGTCTTCATTTACTTTGTATTCTGTGAGAAGTTTGTCTCAAATAACTGGTTGCATGAAATTGACGAGCTTCATTTAAACAGGGGAACAGTCTTACTATGAGTCTTAATGTAGAAGTTGCACTGTAGTGTATATTATATATGTTCATATGCATGATCAAGGAATTTATTTTCTTCAAGGAAACAGGAGGATCATAGTATTAAGCTGTTATTGATGCCACATGAAGATGCTCATCAGATGCATTGCTATGGTCTGGATAGATGAAAGCCTGAATAAAGTCCATGAAAATATGTCCAGAGGCTCATTCTCCACTTCAGAGAATTTGTGTAGACAGCAGGAGTGGATGCCAAGGCAGGAGATCAGGAGAACACCTCCACAGAGACTCATGAGAATGAGTATCCCAAAGATGATACAGCTATGTGCTTCCTTCTGCTAATACAGCCAACTGCTCCATTAAATGGAACATGTGTGCATGAAATTCCTGCAAGAATACTGGGTGTGTCCTGAGAATCTAAATTCTGCAGAATTATGTGTACATTCCTGTTTCCACTCCTATAGCTTTATGTGTTAATATACTGTAACAAAACACACTCAAAAAATCCTTCATGAATTTTGCTCACTTTTTTTCCCAGATGAACTTTAGAAAAGCTTGTCAAGTCTGGTTTATTAAAAACTCCTATAAGGATCTTCATTGGGTTTATGACAACTAGATAATCTGAAGAAGCTGTCAGTGCAATTTCATCCTTCTTATTCAGGTTCTAGTATACTCATTTCAGACATTTTCTGTATTCCTTAGCAAATGTTTTATAAGTTTACATGGCGGTTTTATTACTACCGATAGATGGTATTGCTTTAGGCTGCGGATCTATATAGTATATATGAATGTATATGAGATAGGGTCTCACTGTGTACCGCAGGCTGTCTGGCCTGAGACTCACTATGGAGCGTAAGTAGACCTTGAACTCTCAGTCTTCCTGCCTTGGCTTCCCAAATGCTGAGAGTTCAGTAACTTCAAGCAATACTTTTTAGAAGGAACCATAATGGTAAGGTTTCTTAATCTTTTAATACTAAAAGAGATTTGCCTTAATACTGTCTTCAAATCGGAATGAACATAGGAAGTTGGGTTTAAACTATTTCTTTAGAAATAAAAAGATGTTTTGTTCTATCCTGCTTATTCTCTGGCAGTTCATATGAGAAGCCAAATAGCCATTTGAATACTGCTTTTTAAAATCTATCTTGTTTTTGTTTCAACCTTTAGAAATTCTTGAGGCTTTTCTCTATTTTCTTGGAGATGAGAAATTTCACACAATCTTTGTAGCCACCCACTTCCATACACACCCAGATTCTGCACTGGCTTTCCTTAAAAGACATGAGAGCATCATCTTGAAATACAGAAACAAGGTCTTTGGGCAGGCCAATCTACTACAGTGAAAGAAGATGAAACATAACTGTTGAAACTGACCGGAAGGCACTGCATGCCATCTAAACTCTACCATGGTGTTGGTACATGGTACAGCACAACATCTACTGTAATATTACAGATCACCTACCAGAGACCTTGCTTTCCATAGACTGTGAACAGTTGAACCCAGTTGCATATGTGCCCAGGAAGAGGACACCTGGACAGAAAGCTGGAGTGAAAGGAGGCTCCACTGTGTACACTTTATGATCCCAATGCTGGCTTAACCTGGGAGCTGCTCTTGCCTCCCCTTGGGTTTAGAATCCAGGAGAGTGGCTAGGAGTGCCCAGGGTGCTTGCTGAAGTTTTCCATAGGCTCTGGTGAACTTGCAGCACGTGATTGCGTTTGATAGATAAGTGGATTTGTGGCTGATTTGTCCTCACATAGTTTGATGCAACATGTTGGGAGATGAGAAACCTTGCAGGAATGGGGCTTTGTGAAAGCCTCAGAGCTCACAGTCAAAGAAGTCAGAACGAACCGAGTCAGGAAACCCCACAATCCCCTATCTCTGAGGCCACAGTGGACACAACTGGGTCTCTCATTGAGCATTCCATCAACCACAGAGGCAAAATAATGAACAGGGTTAATTTTTATTTCATCTTACTGCATTTAAAATTTATGTCATTTTGTTACAAAGGAACATGACTGAACAGGTAGGAAACAGATTCTCCGTTGTGAGTTCTCCGGATGGCTTCTGCAAGAATCATAGAGATGTCAATCACCCAGATTTTGGGGCAGTGCTTCATCTTGTCCTCCTGAGGTATGGTATTAGTGACCACTACTGCTTCAAAGCTTGCACCATTGATGCGAGCAATGGCTGGGCCAGAAAAGATTCCGTGAGTCAGGATGGCATAAACTCTGGTGGCTCCTGCTGAGAGAAGTTTGTCCGCTGCGTGACAGATTGTACCACAAGTGTCAGCCATGTCATCCACAAGGATAGCCACCCGATCCTTCACATCGCCCACAAGAACCATGTGGTCCACTTCATTGGCTTTCTTCCGTTCTTTGTGAATCAAGGCAAAATCCACATTCAAATGGTCTGCGATGGAAGTTACCCTCTTGGCCCCCCCAGCATCTGGAGAGACTATAGTGCAGTCCTTCCATTCAGAGATATTCTCCCTTATCCACTTTAGGACAGCTGGCTCTGCATACAAATTGTCTACTGGGATGTCAAAAAAGCCCTGAATCTGAGAAGCATGTAGGTCCATGGTGATGATGTGATCTGCACCTGCTATAGACAGCATATTTGCTACGAGCTTCGCAGAGATGGGAGCCCGGCTCTTATCCTTTTTATCCTGACGGGCGTAAGGGAAGCATGGGATGACTGCAGTCACCCGGCTGGCTGAAGCGATCTTGCAAGCATTGATCATGATCAAAAGTTCCATTAAACTGTCATTGATTTCGCCACAACCGCTCTGAACAATGTAGACATCCTCTCCGCGCACACTCTCACCGATTTCCACGCAGGTTTCCTGGTTGCTGAATTTCTTAGTTACCACCTTGCTGAGCTCTAGGCCCAGGCGCTCAGTGATCTTCTGGGATAAGTCTTGGTGGGAGCTGCCACTGAAGATTTTGATGTTTGGCATCTTGGCCAGAGATCCTAGATTCAGCTGTTCCGGGCTCTGCCGCCTTGGAACGGAACTGGGACCACAGACCCTAATAGCTTCCGGTCATCGGGTCATCGCAACGGGTGGTTATGAAGCCGTTACTGTCTCTTCCATAACGGCTGTGCTAACCTGACCCCAAGTCTTTTGAAAAAACAAAAGGCTTGGTTGGCACCTACTGCACACTTTCAAATTAAGAAGACTTCCAACTGCATGGGAATTTTCCTAATGTTATTATTATTCTTAGTAATTTTTCTTGTTTTGTTTTTTCCCAGAAAGGGTTTCTCAGGATATATCCCTAGCTGTTCTGCAACTAGTCCTGTAGATCAGAACTGGCCTCAAGCTCAAAGATAGATTGCCTCTGCCTCCTGAGTGCTGGAATTAAAGGCATGAGTCACTGCCTGGCCCATTGTTACTTATTATTAACTTGCAGGGAATGTTTAAATTTGAATACTGAAACACAAAGCAAGGTTCTTTTTTTTTTTTTTTTTTTTTGGTTTTTCGAGACAGGGTTTCTCTGTGTAGCTTTGCGCCTTTCCTGGGACTCACTTGGTAGCCCAGGCTGGCCTCGAACTCACAGAGATCCGCCTGCCTCTGCCTCCCGAGTGCTGGGATTAAAGGCGTGCGCCACCACCGCCCGGCTTTAAAGCAAGGTTCTTAAACAAGTTTAAATAGAAAGTTTCAGACTGGAGGAGGTATGTGCAAAGTGTTGTTTAGTCCATTTCTTCAACAGAATAAGAAGGCAAAAGGTTGGAAAATGGTATAAATGGGAATCCATTCCAGAGTGTTTGCAAGTACCTCCAGGTTATATAATGGTGGGGTTGTGGTATAAGTTAAATAATATTCCTGTGTGTCAGTTGTTTTGCCTTTTGCAGATGTATCAAAATCTGAGCCCACAGTATCGTGGCATAGCTGTGAATGTAGCTCAACATGTTTGCAGATGGCATCACCATGTCACAGTGTGTAAGGCTTGGACGTCTCTGTTGGGTTTACGATGATGAGCTGCAAATAGCAACTAACCTAGATGTTCAAAGAAACAGAGTCTGGGACCAGCATGTGATCATCAATACGTATTAAAACACCTATTTTCTACACGAAGTCTGAGAAACATATTACTTGGTTATAAAGTTTTATTTTTATATATTTATGAGATATTATTATAGAGTCATGTAAACAACTAACAATGCCCATGTTAAAATGTTACATCAAAATAGCATGCTAATGATCTAATAACATCCCTTGACATTAAAATACCTTCTTTTCTCTTCAGTTCATATTCTTTGTGATTGACAATGCATGCCAACTGCTTTCTGTTCACAAATCTTCATTCATGTTTTTTCCTTAAAAACAAATCCAACAGAAACACCTGTGCCATGTAATTCATCCCAAATGAGCTACATACAGTGATTTGTACAGAAAATCCTGTAGCTTAATTTAGAAGCACTAAAAAGTACTTGCAGCTTCAATTAAACTGATTTTTCTTTTAGTGTTTTCAATATGGCACATATTTTCAGTTTTTAATGAAAAACAAAACAGATTTTTAAATAGATTTAATATTACCTAAATAGGACTGAATGCTAATGTAAACATTTAAAACCCATAGCTGGTTGTATTTCTCTTGAGGTGTTAACTAGAAGCCATTTTTGTATTGCTGTTATTTTTGATCTGGCTGTTGCTATACCTCATAATTCAAGGGATTTGTCTAGAATCATAGTATATAAAGATGGAAATGGCCTCAGAGACCATCTAGTCATTTTATATCCCAGTTCACAGCCAGGGAACCCAGAACTGGAGAAACAAACTACCTATGATTTACTACTGACTCACTAAAGCTCAGTGTATACTAGGATGTGGGCTTCCTAGATTTCCAATTATAGCTTTTAGTGGTCTGTCATATTAGGCCCTTCTCCCCACCCCCTAGTTTATTAGAATAATGAGGGGGGAAAGTGTGCAGAAATATTTGCATAAAATTTTCTTGCTTATCAAGTAACTACAACAAAGAACAAATATGACCCCAAATGTCCTGGTGCTGAAACCAACCTCTGAAATTTCCAGAAGGAAATGAACCACTGATGTCATAGATTGTGATGTCATAGATGGTTATTCTGACATTTTTCAACTTGGATAGATCATACTGGAATTTCATGTTGTTCTCTTTGTTCCATAGGTTAAGAGAGACAACTGCCTTATCATTGACTGCTTCTGGAAAAAAAAGTTCATGTAGCAATAATACATATTGGATAACGTTCTTTCTGTGGAGGTATTGCTTCTTAGAAAATTGCTCTAGAAATGAGAATGATGAAAGGGAGAAAAGGCTGTATCTTTCTCCTTCTCAAAACAAGAGCGCTTTAATATCATCTCCACAGATCTGTGAGGATTGTTGCATTTTGAAGGTCTTTTGAGTCAATAACCATTATATATATATATATATATATATATATATATATATATATATAATATATATTTCCTTCGTGATAGTTTCTTGCTTCACTGCTTGTTTTTTTTTTACCCTTCACAATTCTGACATAAATAATTCAAAGACAGTTCTGATGCAGCTTGATCAGCTAAAGAGAAAAGAAATCCAAGCAGTCATTTTAGAAAGCGAGGAAAATGGTTGTATTTTAAGTTAAATAAATGCTTTCACTAAACACACTTACAGTTGACAAAATGCTAGATGTTTAGGTGGCAATTATAGTTCTTTGATAAACTGTCAAATCTTGTCACAACACATGTTACAAACAAGGACAGATTTAGATGTCCTTTATGACAGCTTTGTGTAGGTTGGGAATGTGTGACAGTTAATTTCAAGCAAGGAACATATTTTTCTTTCCAGCAGTTATCTTCTTGTTGATTAGGAAGACTTTCTTTGTGCCTTTAATCTTACTCATTGACTCACAGTTCCAGATCATTATTGTAAGACTGCCTTACCTCGTCGGTTTGATTCATAATCATCAACCACAATACTGGGAGGAAACAGTTTCCCACTGAGATTTACATTTGGTACAAATGCTTTAAAGTTTGTTTTGTGGTTATTTACAATTGGAGTTGATGACTGTGTGTGGTTATCAAGCTTTTTGCTGGAAGTCTGTCATCTTGTACAATGGATGTGTAGGTAACAGCTAGGTAAATAAGGCAGAATGAAACAAAGAGGAGAGCGGGAGGAAATGCTATGATTCAGAAGCGTGGCTTTGATTATGAGGGTTATGTTAGACTCGTGAAGGTGTTTCTGAAGTGTACTTTGGAGTTTCTTTTAAAAGTCTGGTGAACCAAACAATCCAAGTATGAAATAATAATCGTGGAATAACAATGAGATTCCAGGAGCTCAATGATGTACCAAGGTAATGACAGATAAAGCAATATGTAAAGAGATTCCATAACTACCACATTGCAAATAATAAAATCTCTTCCTCATGGCTATGCGAAAAAAATTGGAGTGTTTCAAAGCAGATTCTGGGCTGATATTTGCTATTTCATGTATAATCTCAGTTTCATACAAGTAACAAAAAGTTAACGAAATTAAGGAACACACAACTTCCATTTATGTTATTGAAATCTCTTTAAAAATGTACTTTTGTAGTACTCAGGAGGCAGGGTTAGGTGGATCTCTATGGGTTCAAAGCCAGCCTGCTCAACATAGCAAGTTCCAGGCCAACCAAGATCACAGAATGAGACCCCATCTCAAACAACAACAACAACAAAAAAAACAAAACAAAACAAAAATAATGTACTTTTTGATGCTTTGAAGGGCAAAGAAGAAATGTATATGTGGTGGTTTAAACAAGAATGGCCCCTTAGGCTCATATATTTGAATGGTTAGTCATCAGGGAATGATTTGAGAAGGAAGAGAAGGATTATGAGGTATGGCCTTGTTGGAGAAGGTGTGGCCTCCCCGGAAGAAGTGTCACTGGCAGTGCGACTTGTTGTTCTGTCTAGTACGATAACTATGATCAACCTTGCCTTTGACAACTCGGTGCTGCCTCTTTGCCCCTGCTACTTAGGGACTTAATTAAATCCATTGCATTCAGTTCATCCAAATGAACAACTTCTGTATACCTGCAGAACCCTGACTGGTGTTTGTCATCAGAATTGGAGGTATCAATATGGCATCATTTACATACACCTGATCCATGAGATCTACATTGTTGGAAAATACATGAAGGAATTGAATAACTTCCTGTGGCTCTTCAGATTATCTCTAGGTGGAATAAACAACCTATTTTGTGAAAGGCAGAAAAGCAGGGAACTGGGAAGATCAGGTCAACATGCTTACTAGAAGGATTAACTAAGGAATCTCCCACAGGATTTATGTAATATCTGGTCAGTTAATAAACAATAAATTGAAAATGAAGCTTACCCTTTTTTCTCTTCAGTAGTGACTATTAGTAATAATGATTTTTCCAAAAGAGCACTGAAATAGCTATCCATTCACATAAATGAAAACTGTGGTGTGTTTGAGGGTGCTTGTGTATCCAACAAGTTAAGAGAGATCAGGACTGCTGGGAAGACCAGGTAGATCACAGGTTCATAGACTCCATTCCCAGAGATGCTAATCAGCACTCTAGCTGGGATGTCAGGGGAAGTGTCTGGGGTTTGTGTTTCTAACCAAATATATTGGCTGGATGCTTCCCATAGCATTTTCTTTGGTGTTGTCTTATTTACAGTCTTTAGTGTCATTGTTGGCACTAGATGGGAATCCTCCTGCCTCAGCCAACTGAATGCTGAGATGACAGGAATAAGCTGTCATGCCCAGCAAACTTGTTTCTTTTTGTACAGCTTCTATTCCTTTCCCCAGGCTCATCTTGGGTTCTTCGGCTTATGTATCCCATTGTGTCAGTCACTTGAGTGCCAGCGTACTGGAGCTACATGCTTTCATTACTGTGTTTCCAGCTAAATCTTATATATAGCATTTTTGCAGTATTTCTTTTTTGTTTAGGTAAAAATATTTTTCAGTTTTAATGGCGATTGCCTGTTTAGGAGTTTAAGCGTGTCTTTCCTCCTGCTTTCCTTTCTACCCCTCATCTCCCTCCTTTCTTTCCTTGACCAGGAGTCCATGTACCTAGGTTGTCTTCAAACTGGTGACTCTTGCTTTTCTCTCCCAAGCACTGGGATCATAGGCTTGGGCTAATATACTTGTTCACACTAATTTTTCTTCTTTTTAAAAACAGATTATTATTTTTTTAATTATGTGAATGTGTGTGTCTATGTGTGGGTATGTAGACAGGAGTACCAGTGCTTATATTCACTCTTAACCACTAAGCTGTCTCTCCAGCCCTTGACCTTCATTCTTGAGAGATATTTTGGCTAGTATATAATCCTAGGTTGTCCATTGAATTTCCAACCATTGAAACTCTAACCTTCACTCTTGGGTATTTAGTTAGTGCTGTTTAAAATGTAGCCTCCTTTGAAAATCAGCATTTCCCCTCTCACTTGTTTTTAAAGTTTTCTTTTCCCTTTCTCCCTCATTTCTTTCCTAACATCTCTCTTGCTCTGTATATTCAATGTTATTTGTTTAGGTGTCTATTTCTTCTAAGTCATTAGGTGTGGCCTTTTAAATCCATGCCTTAGTGGCTTTTATTAGGTATGGAAAGTCTTCCTGGTTTATCTCTTCAAATATTTCCCCTAAGTCTTTCTTCTGTTGTCACTGATGACACATGACACATCTTTAGATTCTATTTTCTAACAATCCGTCTCTCATAGTTTTTCCTCTCCACTGCATTCTGCATCCTCTTCTCTGAGACCTGCCTTAAGTTTATTCCCTCTTCTTCCTTCTCCTCCTCTTCTTATTCCTCTTCACCCTCCTCTTCCTCTTCTGTGTGTGTGTGTGTGTGTGTGTGTGTGTGTGTGTGTGTGTGTGTGTGTGTGTGTGTGTGTGTTGGGGGGGCAGGTGAGCAGAGGTCAGAAGACAACATCATGCATTTGGTTCTCTTTACTTCCATCTTTACATGGGTTCCAGGTATCAAACTAAAGTTCCCAAGCTTATGTGGCAAGCCCCTTATATACTGATCCAATTCACTGGCCTCTTATTCTCTTTCACCTGGGGGCTGTTATGTTATCAATTAGGCCTGCTGAGTTTTAAGTGTTAGTTACTTCAGTTTTGTTTGGAAGGCACTTCACTGAGTCCCTTTGTAGTGTTTCTGGGGGGTGCTTAGAGGTCATTGTTCTTCATCATTGTCCTCAAACTAGTTCTTGCTTGACACCTTAAAAAAACCCCACTATAATAGCTGTGTCTAACCATTTGAATCTAAATATTGTAGAATGTGCAGCCATTATTTATTCTTTGTTTCATGATGACCTCTCCTTTAGTGCTTGTTTATATTTAACTCTATACTATCATAGTAAGAGAATTTATTTGAGGAAATTGTTTGAAATAAAAAATGAGGTTTTTTTTCCAGAAAGAATTTGTTTCTGACCTTTATCGGAGTTGCTGTTAGCTTGGGGCCACCTCAATCCAGCATCAGGCTCAAATCTCCCCAGATGTATTATGCCCCTAGATTCAGAATTATCAAGAAGGGCCCAAGGTCACAATTTGCAGAGTCCCCTTGTCTCGTTCCACATTCCATTTGTTCTGTCATGCTCACTAGCCATCACTTCCTGCTGTAGACTGTGGGGTGGGTCTCCTGTCTCACCACAGCTCCAAAGACAGAGAACTCTCCCAATCCAATTTAATGAATAGACCTTCCCTCTCTAGACACTTCACCTTGGGAAGACCTCTGGGCCTTAGCTTCTTGGCCAATGACATAAAAAAAGAATGAAGCCTGAGATTACAGCTGGTGGTGTTTGTCCATGAATTCTGTGACTTCCACGACTCATTCAGCACAGCCAGTTCTCGATTCCCCTCCCTGAATTGTGAAGTTAGCTGAATATCCATGCCATGGCAAAAACTGTCTTGGATGATAGTTGACAGTAAAGGCTGTCCTGGTGCTTAATAAAGACAGTACAGTGGATAAATCCATGGGATCTTGTTTGAAGTAATAGAAAGTAGTAGTCTCAGATCCTATAAGAAAGTGCTTATATGGGTTGGCTTTTAGGATCAGTGTCTTAGGGTTACTATTACTGTGATCAAACACCATGACCAAAAGCAACTTGGGGAGGAAAGGGTTTATTTGGCATCTGCTTACAAATCACTGTTGATCATTGAAATAAGTCAGGGCAACAAACCCAAACAGGACAGGAACCTGGAGGCAGGAGCTGATGCAGAGGCCATGGAGAGGTGCTGCTTACTGACTTGCCTGCCAAAGTTTGCTCAGCCTGCTTTATTATAGAACCCAGGACCACCAGTCCAGGGATGGCACCACACACAATGAGCTGGACCATCCCACGTAATCACTAAGAAAATCCCTACAGGCTTGTCTACAGCCTGATCTTATGGAGGCTTTTCCTCAATTGAGGTTTCTTCCTCTCTGATAATTGTAGCTTGTGTCAAGTTGGCATAAAACTAACCAACGTAATTAGGTATTGTAAGATTGTTTGATGATAATGAATAGGCCATCTAAGTTCCATCCTAACCTTTCTGACTGACAGCACCTTGGAAATGAGGTTACATTAGATTTATGGTGTACTCCAGGCCTGCACTAACATATACTGAATTTATACAACGAATGTGCACTATATATACTACCATCTGGAAAGTCATCTTAAAATAAATGTTACTTTGTAACTGTTGTTGACTTTAGCAGTTGCCTTTACCAACAGTCACTTTTTGTGTAAATACACTCTGCTTCATATTTTTATATGTTAATAACTTCTTATCAATTCAATTCATGAGCTCTCATTTAAAATGAACTACAATGAGAAAAGAAGAACCAGCTTATTAGTGTCAATCTGCTTTATTCTTTCTGTAGACATGAGAAAAGGAAAGTCTATGAGTGGTAATATTTTCTGTCTTGAAATTTATGTATTTTTAAATCAGCATTTTCTGCTTTAAATATTTAAATATTAAGCATTTCGATAATTTAGAGTGTTGTATCTGCTGGAGATGTAGAAAAGTGGTGGTAAATGGTGTTTCTAAGTATGAGTAGTACAGAAATAATTGACTTCTGATCTTCAAGTTTAATTTAGCTGCAGAAGGGTGAGGTAGGGCTGTGGATGTGCATAAGCGTCATACCAGACCAATGGAACTTGAATCCTGGCTAGGCAGTTTGATATCTGATGATGCTGAACACATTTCTTCACAACCCTTTGCCATGATTTTCTCATTTATGAGACGAATAATTGTAATAGTAATAATCTATTAGTATTGTGAGGATGAAATAAGTAAAAATAAATGTAAACCATTTCAGACCTTATATATGTGCACCACATGTAGTTTATAAGCGTGATGTGGACATTATTTGCATTTATTTATTTATTTATTTATTTATTTATTTATTTATTTATTTTGTGCATGGTGTGTGTGTGTGTGTGTGTGTGTGTGTGTGTGTGTGTGTGTTTGTGTGTGTGTTTGTATGTGTGTTTGTGTGTGTACTCAGACATTCTGCAGCATAATAGGGAGGTCAGACGACAGACAGTTTGTGGGAGTCATTTTTCTCTTTTTGCCATGCAGGTCTTAGGGACCAACTCATGACATCAGTCTTGCAGTAAGTGCCTTGACCTACTCATCCATCTCACTGGTCCATGAGCATAATTTTTGCATACAGAATACAAATAGGTGTCAACAGTTTCATAAAATAACATCAAAGTCCTAGTCTACACCCGAACCTCTGTACATTTTACTTTTCCTCCCACAGTCTTCCTCTTGGAGGGCCAGTCATAGTGAAGTGGAACAGGCAAGTGTATGCTCAATTGTCATCTTGAGAGAGGGAAGCTTTTCCAATGGATTTCCTAGGTCAGTCACTATTGGAAGGGCAAGGTGAGGATAGAGTGTTGAATGAATCAGTGGGGTTATGCTCTACAAAATTGAAGGCAGGACAATGTGGTCTGAGGAATAGCAACATGGTATTCTTGAATAGTGTGGTGTGAGATTAAGACAGGTCTTTCTTGTGGTGATATTTTGTTTGTGCTCTAACAAATAAAGCTTGACTGGAGATCTGTGAAAGCTAGCCACTAGAGGCCAGGCAGTGGTGGCACACACCTTTAATCCCAGCACTTGGGAGGAGGAAACAGGAAGTGATATGGCTGGGTGGAGAGAAGAAGTGAAAAGGTCTTTGGATTCAGCACAGGTAAGTCTCTCTCGTGGCTGCTACTTTACTTCTCTGATCTTTCAGCATTTACCGCATATCTGACTCTGTGTTTTTATTAAGACCAATTAGAATTTGCACTATACTTTCTATGAATGAGTGTCTGTAGATTTCCAGTGAGTGTGGAGACTATGTCAGATTTCCAGTGAGTGTGGAGACTATGTCCACAAGTGGACAAAATTTTATTCTTTCCATGGCCCATGGTATGTTTATATTTATTTTGATATTTTAATGCATCCTCTCTCCATAGAATGAGCTAGGAAAACATTTCTTCCCGAGACCATGTGAAAAATTATTGGTTAACCAGCAGAAGATGATGTAGTCCTTTTCCAGTCAAGGGTTAAGTGTAATTTAAACTACCAATCACAAAATCTTTTGAGTATTTTAACATTTCATTCTTGGAGCTCTTTTTTGTCTTACGTTTTTGTATATTTTATAGAAAAAATGATGACTCATGAACATGATCTCCCTTTGATGTAATTTTATAATAGTAAATTATTTCTCACAGCAAAATATCACTGAAATATTTAGAACAAGAAAACATATGCCTTATTTTAATATTTCTGGGGAAGCAAATTCCATGGATCCTTTTGATGATTTTCTTTTAAATATATGAGTCATATAGGAAATTCTCTTGTGTCTTGTTTTTCTGATGAAGTTTAATAACTCTTCATGTTTGTGTACCCTGTGAAGACTGAGAGCAGGAAACATGACCCTCTTTGTACGTTAAGTACCATTATTTTAAAGACCTTTATTTTTATCAGGACCTTCACTTTTCATCCTATTTCTAAGTCTTTTGATCAGTTTTACTGCTCTGTTATTTTTTTTAATTGAGTCTAAAGAATTCTCTTGTATCTGATCAGGAGAGCATACCTTGCACACCAGTGCTTAGCTGCCATTCACATATCTCACCATCACACCACCACACTTGCCATTTTAGGAACTGTAAAAATGTTTCATTTGAGTTGGTACATTATTTCCTGGCATTTATTTGAGATCCAAATAAATTAAAGCCTTTCGAAATCATATGCCCTCCTTACATAACAATGCACACACACACACACACACACACACACACACACACACACACACACACAGGGAGAGAGAGAGAGAGAGAGAGAGAGAGAGAGAGAGAGAGAGAGAGAGAGAGAGAGAGAGCTAATGAATTGTGATAATTCATTAGTAACTACTAAAGAACAGCACGATGTGTTCTGGAGCTACATGAGGCTGATGGCTATTACACATTCAAAGACTCTCACATGCACACACACACACACACACACACACACACACACACACACACACACACACACAGTGCAAGAAGAATGAAAAGAATGCATTTCAATGACTAACCGAACAGTATGTCTTTTAAGAAGTGAATTATAAGAAATAAACAGCTCTTAAATTGAGCCATTAGATTTCATCAATGATATGCTTTTAACCTTTTCACTGTAAGGTTTGTCTGTTTGAAGTCTGCAACCTGTCATTAGCTAAGTAAAATTGGGATAATTATGTTATGGAAATGGGACCAAAATTGGTAAGATAACTCAATGAAATTTAAGATTCCTTTGATGACTATTAGTCTACTGTACTGGTTCTTGAACTTAGGATTCAATCTAAAGTGTGGTCTAAAGTCTTATTTTAACTTTCTCTGTTCATTACAGCATTCTGTCACTTGCTGAATGACAGAATTTTTATTCTTTTTTCACTTGTATCTTTGTCTTTAGAGCTTCCACCACTTTTAAAAATAATTTTCTTTTATTTCTAATTTGTGTGTATGTTGTGTGCACATGTGTGTAGTTGTGCACAGAGTCCAGAAGAGGCCACTAAATCCCCTAGAGCTGGAGTTACAGGATGTTGTAGGCTGTTCAAGGTTGCTGGGAACTGAATTCAGTCCTCTGGGAGAGCAGGAACTGAGCCACCTCTCCAGCCTGTTCCTCTCATTTCTTTCTTTAATTAAAACAAATTATGTGTACATGTGTGGCTGAGCATGTGCATGTGCAGGAGCCCAAAGAGGTCAGAAGAGGCACCAGGTCCCCTGGAACTGGAGTTGTGAGCTGCCCTGTGGGTACAAGGTATCAAACTCAGGTCCTCTGCAACAGCGGCCTGTGCTCTTAAGCACAGCCTCAATTTCTAACACTAAAAAAATTGTGGAGAAAAATTTCATGAAGTCTTCCTTTCCATATTTACCTTCTTGATTTGTTAATTAAATCTTTCCTTCCTTTTCATTGGGAGCTTTCAGATTATCTCCAGCCATTAACAACTAATCAAAATTTATCTATGATTCAAAATAAAAATTAGTGAACAACTTAACACCCAAATTAGTGAAATTTAACTCCTTGAAGGCTCCATGTGTTTGGATGTGCTTACATCATTATTTTCCCTATAACCTAGTTACAGATCACTGAGCTATAACTTACGTGCAAGCACTGTTGGGATTTCATGAATATTTAGTGCCTGTTTCTAAGTCTGTGAAGTCTCATTAATCAATGCTGCTTTCCTCCATGCCACATGGCTGTGACTTTGGTGCTATCTCTTTGGAATGATAAGGGTTGAGTTCCACACAGTTTTCATATAAAACAGAAGAGAGAAATATCAATGCAAGCTTTTCTTTTACTGAAATTACTATGTCATTTACAGACCAGTGCAGAACAAAATCAAGAAGCTATTTTTAATTTCATAAACTAGAATCCAAAATATTACCATGTGTTTAATGCCTGAAAACTCCCTTGGTGGATTTTTCTTTTTTAGATTTCAAAACTGTAAACATGGATGTCAGAGATTTTATTGGTGAGTTACCTGCTCTAGACCAGCAAGTTTCAGTGCAGCCAATCGTTACACTTCCTTGAAATACAGATTTCCAGACTCAACCATAGGACCTCTTTTGACTCAGTAACACTCAAGCAATGCTTCTCATTCTGGGGTGTGCATTCAACTCACCTGGGGAATTTTTAAATGTTACCTCAGCATGAGCCACAGAGAGTTTGATGTGTTGGTCTGGGTCACCTTAACAATAATCCCAACCCTAGTCTTGACGCTAAGTCTAACAGCAACTTAGGCTAACATTCCTAGGCTAGAAATGTCATTCAGACTTTCTGATCATGAATATGGATTTATGCTCAATCTTTCCTAATCATCTTCAAATATTAATATTTTTAAGTTTATAAAGTTTTGCTTATCTCCTAGGAGAAGCAATGGCTGACTTATCCAAACAAGCTCTGGTGTGGAGATGTGAGGAAGCCTGCCTAGCTCAGCAGGAGAGCTTCTTTGAAATTCTGGGAAATCTTCCTCTCACCACAGAAGAACCCAAAGGTAGAGACTGTAGGGATACCAGAGTGAAGAAGCTGATGTTCTTGTGTCTGGGACAACTGGCCCGAGGTCTGCTTTAGCTTCAGTTTGCTCCTCAACTATGTAATAATAGAAAATGTTGACTGAGTATTTAAATACTGACTATACGGCAGAGCACAGGAAAGGAAATGTCAGGCACGGGGGCATGAAATAATTTTCCCAGGATCACATAGCTAGGATGCTGCAGACTTGAACCCAGTCTGACCCTGGTGCTCTCAGGGCCACTGTGGCATCACTCTGACTAGTGAGATTGCAATGTGAAATAATAGTCACAAATGAGCAATGTGCAGGCAGATTGAATCTCACCTCATTTATGTAATATCAACATGCATAACTTGATTTTTCCCAGTTTTAATGATCCCATATGTAAAATGGGCTAACAGTAAAATCTGTTTCTTGAGAAGGTTTTCAGCAGTCACTCTGGTGTCTGCATTATACAAGCTTTTCCATCCCACAGTGCCACATGAAATTACTGACTTGAACGTGAGAATACGCAGCTCTCATTTCCATCCTTTTTTATGTGCTAGGAACTCTCGTTTGTCAGTCACCCGCTTAAGTCTTCAGTTATCTTCCATGCAAATTTAGATGCTATATTATGTGATAGCAACGGTTTCTTCTCACTCTAATATTGTGTGATTCTGGATATTACAGAATAGCAACAAGGGTATATTTGTATATGTAAACTGTGCATATACTGGGAACTGCAATTCTCACCCACCCGTTCATCTTCTTAGTTCCAACAATTTCTTCTTTATTCTGGGCTCATCTGTCAAAATGTACAAGTAGAATACTGTGATTTCTAACTTTTTAGGAGTCTATTAATCTCTCTCTGTTAACAACCAGTTGCTTGAAGTACAATGGCTCCTATGCCTAGCGATCTTTCACATTCATTTTCTATTACCATAGAGAAATACCTGAAGTTGAGTACTTTACAAGATGCTGAAAATCCAAATGCTGTGGTGCTAGCTCAAGCCAGCCTTCCCCTGTGTGCAGTGCGTCGTGGCTCAATGGCACCCTCATAATGGGGCTGTCTGAAAGGAGGCGATATCACATGGCAGAACAGTAAACCATACCAGGAAGAGCCTCCCAGGCTGGGGATTGAACCCAGGGCCTCACACATAGCACATGAGCACTCTATATCACTACACAATAGCCCAACTCAGCCTCGCTCTTTTTGTTTGCTTACTTAACCATTCCTTTGCATGTGTTTATGTATGCGATGTTCATGCATGTTTGCACACATATGAAAGTATGTGTGTACATGGGTGCACATGCACATGTGTGGATGATATGTTATGAAGGCCCAAGGCTTATGTTGACAGTCTTCCTTGATTAGCTCCTCTCACTAATCAGCTAGTATAGCTATTCAAATGGCTCTAGCATCCCCTGTCATTGCATCCTGAGCACTGGAATTACAAGTGGGTGGGGGGCATTTATGTGAGCACTGGGAATCCAAACTCTGCTTCTTTTACTTGAGCAGCAAATATTTTATCCTCTAAGCCATTTCCTTCAGCACCCCTACTCTTTCTCTTATTAAAATTACATGTATGTATGTATGTATGTATGTATGTATGTATGTATGTCAGAGGACAACCTAGGTGCTGTGGAATATTAACTTAATGTGTTACATTCATTAATGCTGTGAAATATTTGTTTAATGATGCAAGTGTTGGCATTCTTTTATGTTGAATTCGTTTAACTCTGTAAAGCTGTGTTACTTTGCCTGTATAAAATGCCTGATTGGTCTAATAAAGAGCTGAAAGACTAATAGGTAAGCAGAAGAGAGATAGGTGGGGCTGCCCAGCAGAGTAATAAATAAGATGATAAATCTAGGCCTGAGAGAAGAGCAAGGAGTGAGAAAAGGAGGAGAGGAAGACGCCAGGGTCCAGACACTCAGCCACACAGCCACACATGGAGTAAGAAATAAGAAAGATATATAAAACAAAGGTAAAAAGCCCAGATGAAAAACATAGTTAAAGTGAAATGGGATAATTTAAGTTAGAAAAGCTGGCTAGAAACAAGCCAATCTAAGGCCGGGCATTCATAAGTAAGAATAAGTCTTGTATTTATTTGGGAGCTGGGTGGTGGGCACCCCCCCCAAAAAAAAAACAACAAAAACCCCTACATTTTGATGTACCAATGTGAGGTTGGGATATCCACCTAGGGCCTGGGAAAGCTGGGGGGAAAAAAAGAGACTCTGCTGCACAGTAGAGCATTTAAATAGCCTTTTTCACACTAAGTAGAAACAAAAAACTAAGTAAAATATGCCTGCTGTAGTGCAGGGCACTGGCATTCCAGTTCTTGGTCACCTATCTCTGACCAGGCCCATAAGCTTTAGGTTTGGCTTTTAGCGACCCAAAAAGTAGACGGAGTCAGCTGCCAAAGCTTCAGCAGAGGTCCTAACCATGCCACTTAGTAGTTTAAGGGCACATGTGGTTAGAAAAAAAATAGAGATATGCAGTAAAAGAGGTCTAGATGGGAAAAAACATCTAAACAGGTTCCATTGTGTTTCAAAATGTGAGTAGGCTTAAGAAAAGAGAAAGAGTATAGATAGTCATAGAAAGAAATAAATAGTTAAAAATAATAAAGTCTTTAAAGACAGAGTAAAAGTAATATAAAAGAAAGAGGCCGCATAACAATATAAAATACACAGGGAGTCTGGATCCTATATAGTATTGTGTTGATTTTGAATTTTTTGATTGCTGATAAGAGAAGACAGCCACTGAGAGGCATGAGACTGAAAGAGGGACTGTTGAAGTAAACCAGCCTGGATAGTTTATGAATGCCTTCACTTTAAAATGGAACTCAAAAAATGCATGGCTTTGGGGAAGAAATTTTGCTTTTATTTTCACAGTAAATGAGAGGTTATGGATTCCTTCAGGGTTGATATGGATTTGAGGAGACCTCCTGAATCTTGACAGGTGACATAGATAAACAAAGGTTATAGCTGGTCTACCCAGGACTTGGCCATTATCTCAATTTTCTTGGGGAACCCTAAAGATGCCTTTACCCACAGACCACAGGAAGCAGTCTAGAGAAGACAGCACCCACATTCCCAAGAGATGAGTGGGTGATTGTTGGCTATTTGGTGGGTTATGGATGTTTGTTATCATTTAGGGGAATATAGGAATACAGGATAAAAAGACATCTATTAATTTCAGATATTTTGCCTTGGCATGAATTTTGGTATATTGATACAAATTTAAAGTTATTTTTATTATACTGTATATATACTTCTACTCTTGTTTGGGGTATTGTGCTTATGCAGCTCATTTAAAAATACAATGTATAGTTTAAAAATGAGGTTAGTAGCTAATCTATAATAATCAAACTTGTCATCATATTAGGTATGTTTTCAAGGTTAAATAGACATGTGATAGATGATCTTCAAACACTTTAAAGACCTACAGAATATGGCATTTAAGATGTTTAAGAACCTGAGGTTTTTCATTACAGTGTGACATATCTGCTCCTGGCAGCATCAATCTATTTCATAAAAGGATGATTGGCATCAAAGAAACTCCATATGGAGTTTGCCTTCAATGTGGCAAGGCAAGCCTTTTGGGCAAGAAATTGCCCTTGCCTTGACTGCTGACGGTATACTGTACAGACTAGACCAGTGCAGTGCAAAGGAAAAAGACTGTTGAACTTTGCCAAGACAAGGCAGGACATTTCTTTCAGATTCCTGCTTTATAGAAGAGTCTGACAGACATTCTGCAGGACACAGAGGAAATCAACTGATGAACTTTGCCAATACAAGGTGGGATGGTTCTTCAAATTTTCTGCTTCACTGAAAAGTCTGCCAGATAGTCTAGCCCTGTAGGCTGAAAATGGATGCCCCAACATTGCAGAGGAACTTTGGGTGACTGTCCAGTTAGCCAGATGTCTCTGTTGTTAGGTAATATTACATCCTTCTGGGGTATTTGGTAGAGTTAAAGACTAAATAGAGTTACAGTTTTCCTTAGTTATGATAGAAAGTAAATTAGGTATAAAACTTTGGAATCACTAATATAAGACAGATAATAAAGTATTTTTCTGAATTTGCTAAATACAAATGGACTGAATATTGTAAATATAATTCTTACTTGATAACTGTTTTGTGGTATATAGTTTTACTATGTTAAAGTTAAAACCCTTTCTTTTCATTTATACAAAAAGGAGGAAATGTTGTGGAATATTAGCTTAAGATGCATCAAACTTGTTTATGCTGTGGAATATTTGTTTAATGATGCAAAGATGTGTTGCATTCTTTTATGTTGCATTTTGCCTGCCTAAAACACTTGATTGGTCCAATAAAGAACTGAATGGCCAATAGCTAGGTAGAAGAGGGCTAGGCAGGGTTTCCAGGCAGAGAGAATAAATAGGAGGATAAACCTATACTTGAGAGAAGAGTGAGGAGTGAGAAAAGGAGGAGAGGAGGACTCCAGGGTCCAGCCACTCAGCCACACATGGAGTAAGAAGTAAAGAAAGGTGTTTAAAATAAAGAAAGGTAAAAAGCCTAGAGGCATAACATAGCTAAAGAGAAACAGGATAATTTAAGTTAGAAAAGCTGGCTAGAAACAAACCAAGCTAAGGCAGGGCATTTATAAGTAAGAATATAAGTAAGAACAGGTCTCCTGTATTTATTTGGGAGTTTGGTGGTAGGCACCCAAAAAGTAAAAAACAAAACAAAAAATCAAAAAGAAAAGTAAACTACACCTATGTGAATCATTTCTCTCCTTGTACAATGTGGGTCCCAGGGATGGAACACAGGTCTGAAGCACCATAGCCAAAATCTTTACCTGCTGAACCATCTCAGCAGCCTGGTGTTCTCATTTTATCCTCTTTTTAAAAATTAAATAAATAAAATTAAAACAGCATTAACTGAGGATCCCAGGAGACACACCATAATCCTTTTGAAGGGCAACACCTCATCACCTATTGACAGCTCACTGTATCCTACTTAAAGGTTCAGCGTTGCCTTAGGACACTGCCACACAGAGACTCAGAGTGCCAGCCATGGCTCCTCAGCTACTCACTGACACCCATGGAAATTTATTTCATCTTCTGTTACCTAGTCTTTTATTACTAGAGCATAGTATTTATCAGATGTTGATTTCTAGTTGTGCCCTTAAACACGAAAAGAATGCAAATACTTTTCAAATTTACTAAAAAGTTGAATTGACAGAAATTTCTCTCATAAAATACCCCAAAACCTTTGATACCCCGTGTCATTTGTATTAGAACAAAATAGGATGTTGTTTCCAATTTAGGGCAGAATTGTTTAGATTATAATTTTACACTCACTTTAGTTAGCACATGTTCTCTATAAATCAGAGTCAGAGGTCAAGATTCACATGCTAATGTTTTGTTGAAAATGTGCAACCCTGCCTGAAGCTGCTGGCCTTAGGCTGGCAGAACAAGCCGCTGGCCTGCCGGATGGGCTGTCAGGCACCATTATGGTGAGTAAATATATGGTGCGGTATGGGAGAGAGAAAGAGGCAGAATAGTTCATGTTCTGTGGAAAGAGGCAGGTCTGAAGAGAAAAAAGTGGTGAGGAAAGGGTTGGTGTGGGTAACCTGCTTGCCACCCAGGGTCATGGTACCATCCGGTCCTGAGCTGTGGCCAAGGGCCATCCATGTCTGAGTCTGGGGCCCTGCCGCAGCCATGGTCTGTGTAAATGTCCATTGCTCCTGTTACGACCTAAGGCTGTGAGGATAGGGCCTCACAGAGTCGGCCTGGTCCCTCACTGGCACTACAGCACTAGGAAGAGCAGGCCCTGAACCTCGCCTGGGCAGCACATTAGAGCATGAGAGAGGGAGAGCTGGCCCCACCCCATCTGCCATGTGGTGGCATGAGCAAGGGACAGATGCCTTCCCCCCCCTTCACCCATTGCCACCTGCAGCGGGTGGGAGAGCTGACTTAGGGGCATGAGATCAGGACAGATGGCCCGGCCCATCACCTGTGGGCTCCCAGGCCAGATGAGGGAGGCAGAGCATTCCCGTGCCCTGGATGCTCTCAGAGAGCACAGCAGGAGTTGGCTGCTCCTTACCCAAATCAGGTATGGGCCCATTCAACTCCACAGAGACAAAGGCCATGCCATGTTACAGTCAGTTAAGCTTCTGTTTCTCTGCCTGAGCTGACTCCTCAGAAGTCACGTGACTGGCAGACTGCTAATCTAACTGATGAGTTTGTAAAGTCCCAGCCTCCACTGTAGCTCCTCCCCGATGACTTCCACCCACCATGCTTTGGTATTTGAATTGGTGCGTCAGTAATGTTTGGCTGTCTTCAATCAGGTCCACATACGCAAATTAGATGCATTTCCTCCCTTGTTCTCTTGTCCCCCCCCGCCCCGACTTGAGCTATATAAGCTAGCATCTTTACTTCAATAAACGAGCTGTCCTCTGACACCGTCTCCTGGATCATTCATAACCACCATGCTCACCTTGACCTTGCTCCCCAGCTCCCCTGCACCCTGAGACTGATGGTGCGCAATGGCTGATGAGGTCAGGAGACCCACACTCACCAGCTGCAGCACTTGGGAGAGGACCTGCACCCATCTGGGCAACACAGTAGAGCTGGCCCTGGCGGGGTGGATGAGCCTATAGGAGGGGTGAGAATAGGAGAACTGGCCCCACCCCTTGCTGCCTGCAGTTGGGTGATCTAGCGGGGCAATGCTGGAGAGCGCTCCCTGGTGGTGATGATGAGGGAAAGCCGGTGGGCTGACCAACCCAGCTACCACCCAGGCCCAGAACCAGGCCTATGAGTTGGCCCACCCCAACATCCACCTCATCTATGAACTGCTGGAGCATGTGAAGGGCCTGGTCCTACAGATCCAAAGCTGCAGGATCTCCAGGACACAGAGCAACAACAGGATATCCAAGAGGATTCTCAGTGAGGGCCCAGTAGTAGTTGATAGTGTAGTAGAAGTCAGACTAGACCAATGACTCATTGCAATGAACACTTGCAAGTGAAGATGTGTGGACTAAACGGTTTACTGTGTGGCTCACTGTGTCATACTACAGCTTCCACGATGAAAATTTTTTTCTTTAAAATTTTACTTTATTTGGTGGGGGAGGAGGGGTTTGCAAGAGTACAGGGCAGATGCAAAGGGA